CAAAACTCTTATGTAAGACTGTGGAACAAAAGGAATTTTACATTTTATGCTTGTTAATTGTTTTGGTGGAAATAAATCGTCCGACTACTAAGGGGAAAAACCTACATTTGCATTAATTAACATTTCTTGAAAAAAGCAGATAAATAGCTATGTCATATAAATTAATATTAATAAAAGTAAGATGCATTAAAATTATATATATATATATATTCAGCATTCTACATGTGTTTAAATGTGAAAAATGCTCAAAACATTTCATGATATTGAAATTTAAATTTTTTGTGCTCAGGTACACCGAGAAACAGCTGGGGCAGAAAAAGTTAATGTTTCTCTCAAACCAACATTACTCAACATAACAACCAACGCATTACTGCAGTCATTGCATTGGTTCAGTTATTTCTGAAATTGTTTTCCCGCACTTTAACCGACATTTGCTGCTTGTATAGGCACAAATATATTTTTTAAAATTCTCAGTAAATATTGAACCTGTTGATTTATTCATTATTTATCACACGCTACGTTTAGTTATTTTTTGATTCCTTATAAAACTGCTCAGATAAAAAAAGATGTCGGTAATTCAGCTCAGTCATTGACAACTCACTTGTAACATCCTAAAATGATAATGAGATCTCATAGTTTAAAGATATTCGGTGCTATTGCTTGAGAGCCGATCTAAAACCCTTGGGAAACACACAGTGTGAGGTATCTACACTAGAATTATTCCAACATGCCATGTTTCGAACGCATATTAAATGGCTTAGACAATTTCCACAACCCAGCACTTCTGTCGGCCGAGTAAATACATTAAGCAGCTAACCAGAAAGCTACGATGCTATATCTCCTTCCACTACAACAATTAAGCAGAAACTATGCTACGGAGGTTATTAGTCGATGTTAGGAAGGTTTGTAATTCTGCATCGAAATGTATTTTAGGGATCCGTTATATTAAGCAAGAATTTAATCAGAGTCACATATTATTGAGCCTCAAAGTAAAATACTGAAATGTTCATATACTAACTAATTAGATTCATATATCTCTTTTTGTCATTATTGTTCGGTTATATGAATCTTAAAATGTAATAACCGACACAAAAACCTTTTTATACAGTTTACGGCTTCACAAAATGTAGCATATAAAGAAAACATAGAGCTAAATTAAAAACACTTTTCTCAACACATTCTTCAAGTTTCATTCGATATAAAATTATCATTCACTTATTTTATAGTAGAATTGGCGCTGAAATTTATAGGGAAAAAAGACTTTGGAAATTTCATTTTACATGCATCGAAATGGTGAATTAATTTTTCTTATTCAACTTTTTATTAACAAGCATACTTTATTTTTCAAAATAATTATTAATACCAAAATGATGGATTATCTATGTAGCGCCATTTAAATTCTTAATATGCGTTACTATCAGTCCGAATTATTTTGAGAAATTAAATATTTCAGATTGGATCAGCTCAATGATATGTCTGATCTGACTGACTACAAATTAATTAAATTATAATAAAATAAAGTTTTAACTTAAGTAGACTTCAACGTACACATTTTATGGCCGAAGGCAATTTGGTGTCTACCGAGATAATTATTAGGTAATAACGTTGCTTTGTTATTAAAGTAAGTTTTAGCTACAGAGCTCAAAGAACATTTTTTGTCATCTGCCATTACGCATTGCAAATCCAAAGGAAACGTTTCGTAATTTAACATGAAGTTAGTTGTAACACTTTTGACCTGTTACAGAGAAATATTTCACACTGGAAGTACGTTTTTTTTCCGTATTTGCTCTAAGTTTCTTTATATACAAACCTTACTCTTTCAAGCGTTTAAATTGTTTTAAGATTTATTTCGTCTTATTTACCATGTCTAAATCAATCCTTCTCAGTTAATCTTTTTCATCAAGATTTAAATCATGTTTATGACTTTATTTCATTTTTCAACAACCACTTCTAAGTTCCATTATTCGACGTTCATCTTCCTCTGTTTCAAGATTATCTCCCCCTTTTCCATATTTTTTCCCCCATAAACTCTACTTACAGTCTTTTCTAAACACTGCACATTCTTCTTTGAAGAGGGGGGGGGAAGGTTGATATTTGTATTTGGAAATTTGAAAAGGATATTGAACTTAAACTGAAATTAAATACATGAGGACTATCTTAAACTTTAGCTGAAGACTTAAGTCTCAAGTCTTGAGAATGCACCCAGAAAAAATTCTAAGATATTTTGTATCAACACTTCCTCATTAAAGGATAGAATGAAAGTAAAAACACATGCAAATGTAGCTCACAAAGTTAAATTTTACTTATTAGCTTCTTCTTAATGTGAAGACCTGAATTATACGTATAATTTTAATTTAAAACAAAACTTGGTTTCTAATTTAAGTCACACATCTCTAATTCCGGTATTCGAAGAAGCTTACATAAACTGCATCGAAACAGCGAGAGGAAAACTAATGAAATGGGGTATTTCTGGCAGAACACTGCTCGTATTCTGTTGACTCACAGTTTTATAAATATCCATTTAATTTTCTATCAACTATGCATGAATTTTACATAAAAAATAAATTATGTCTATAATAGAATTGATAATTTTAACTCCTTATCAGAACATTTTACTTTTTCAATTATTTTAGGCTGTTATTTGGTAGTACGATTCTGCTTCTGTGTTAGTAGCTGCATTGCATCTTTTTGCTAAACTCTCCTTCTGACGTTTCGTTTCTTTGATATGAATTTAGAAACTTCTTAAAACGTTTAAGACTAAAATCTTTCATTCTGAAGGCTTCTGATTACCTTGTTCTTTCGTGGAGGACTCAGGACAAACTGTTGTATTTATAAGAACTATTGCTAATTTGCGAAATATTATGTTGTATTACTCTGAAACCAAGTTTCTTCCTCACATCCGCATCGGATTGATTTTGTTGTGTAAGACAAACAATTTTCCATGCCCTATTAATTTCGATAGCGTCAAAACAAAACCTTTCCTTAAAATCATTGATTAGGTAATTTTTTTCAATACGTAGTTTGAAAAAATCTTTCGAGATTTTTCTTTTAATAAAATAATAATAATAATAATAATAATAATAATAATAATAATAATATAATATAAAGAGTTCTCTAAATCCCATGGTAAACAGTAAGCTCGCTCTTTTAAGGGGATGCTATAAAGTGACCGCAAACAATTGTCGCGTTGTAGAAGGTTTTTTTTGTGTTTTATTAGATTACGGCAAAGCACTCGAGGGCTATCTGCCTCAAGGGATGGATGTCTTCGTGGAGGATTTTCTAAGGAAAACTGGCTCGTATACACGTTACACATGGGGAAAACACAAAAACGCCCATGCAGCCAGCCCGTTTGCGGGATTCAAACCTCGGACCGAACTACCAGTGTTCAGCGGTTTTACCGCTCTGCCGCTGGTGGGCTAGAAGAATACTGAACACACTGCTCGGCCGCTGGTGAGCCGCGTTGTAGAAGGAAAACAGGAGAAGAAAGGGAGTCCCATCTACCAGTGTAAATTCTTTCGTCAGGTGTAATTGAAAACATGAATAGTCTCTGGGCACAAAGAAAGAAAACACTACAGCTCTTACTTAATTTTATTTAAAATTTTTGATTCTAAATAGAATTTATGATTTATAAAAAGCTGTATATATGTAATTATTAATAAGGATTTTGCTTTCAGTTAAAAATGACTTTTGCACTTTTTCACAATTTAAAATTTTACAGGCATACGATTCATGCTGAGACGTCTCTGTTGGCAAAATTTTAATGAACTCTATAATAGCAACAACGAAAATAAATATTTAGTCAATTATACACTTAGTGATAAAAATTCACCTTTAAGTTTCTCTTTCTCATATCTATTATTAATATTTCGACGTTAGCAGACACTAGCTTCTACACTCTAACAGATCTTACATAAAACAGAAATCTGGCAGCCTATTTTTACCAAAACCTTTAAAAGAGAATACCTTTTCCCCCTTTTTTTAATTCCCAGTGTAAGTCTCAGTATTGCATTAATTTATAAAGCATGCTACTAGTGTAAAGAAAAATTAGACTATATTCAGAAAATTAATATATTAAATTATCATTATTTCGTAGCATTTTTAATACATTAATTAACATTTCAAAATCCACGCATATTTTGTTTTTCGCGTAACATTCCAATGTTAGCCAAGTCCTTATCAATAAGTTTTCAGATTCATCACTTTCAAACTCTTATATTCCTGAACACAGTTTGTCAATTTCTAATCATCGTAAACTACTCTCCTTAGTTTCTAGTTATTTAAACTACTCTCCTTATCTTCTATTCCGATTATTTTAAGCTATTTTCACAGTCATCGGCAGAAAACAATGTTCTGTCTAGAGGTTTCAAGGACGGTCCGCTGTTTGTTTCCTCAACATTCTCTAATTGGTTGAAATAAGAAAATTAATAAAATAATAAAAATAAAAATTAACATGCATTTTATACGGTTTAATTTTTGCCTACAGCTAAACGAAGATCATACTGTTACTTATGATGCTGTAGATAAATTTTAAAACCCTGGGAAATTACTCTCTTCAATTCATACAGCTCCGTAAAATCCAAAACTACGAATTCACTAACTTCCGCTTATTTTTTGCAATCCAATGAATTTTTACAAGCATATAATACACTACACATTACAAAAATGTTTTGCTCTTCGACTTTATATTAAGAGCATTAAAATATTTCTTTGGCTACGAGAAGAGTAAGATCCTATATATTTTAACACATGATCTCCAGGCTCCATAACGTAATACGTAATTTTTAAAACAGTGTGGAATTAAACATCTCTTGAAAGGTCGATCGTTTCCTAAAGGCATAAATTAATGGATTCATTTCTTAAAATGAGATCATGGGTTTACAACCAACGATTCGAAAGAGATTTATTTGTTCTTTTTTTACATACCTTAGTACAAAATTGGTTGATTTATATAGACTGCTGAGAAACTTAATTAAGATTTAAATTAGCTAAGTAAAACTTACCTCTAAATTCTGGATATTTTCCATCGCTTTCTGCTTTTCTGTTTCACTGGATATTGTTTTGATTTCTTCTTGTTTGGCCTGAAGCTCCGCTGCCGCCGCCAGTTTCTGTTGCTCCAACTTTTTTCGCCTCTCGTCAGCATCTCGAATTTGCTGCAGGGTGGAAACAGGCAAATTATAATGCTTATTAAATACCTTTGTTATTATACAGTTGATATAACTAAGAGGGCTATGTAAACTATTAAACAACTCATTTAACCAATGAAAATAAACTAGTAGAAAACCGTTAATTAATATTCCACACATACAAGACTTAAAAATATTACTGAATTTTTTTCGAAAAAGCTATTTACAGATATTTTATAACATTTATAACATACCTCAGACCATACATAGTTTAGAAAATTTAAATATATTTTATGTGTACTGTTAATATGCAAAGTTTGGAAGAAAATTTAGAAATAAATTAAACAGTCTGTTCTTTTTTGTCCAAAAATTAAATTTCAATCTTTCTTAGATTAAATTTAAAACGCATGTGGTTTCAATATCTTCTGCGTTTAATTTTCATTGGTAAGGGAAAAAATCTAGAATAATTCTAGAAATAATATTTGTGCGAAGTCGGCCGAGTGGTAATATTTACACGGAATTTGAATTTGTTTTTTTAGATATTTTTTAGATAAAATTTATATTCATATATTATATCTATATAGCATCACCCTAGCCCCATATTTACGATCAAATTTTCCAATAATCTCTAAGGAATTAAACAAATAAATATTTTAAATAGACATTTCCTTAATTTATGTTCTATTGCAATAATAGATAATTAGAATTACAATATGTATTGAAAAAAGTATATAGAAAAATTAAAACTCTTGGAAAAATATCAGAGGAAGGAATTTTTATTCAGGTTTAATTAATTAATCTTTTGCAGAATACAAGAATTTGTGACTTATTCACTGTTATTCTTTATATTTTTGCCGGTGCTAACTAAAACAAGAAATTGGTCTATCGAATAAATTTTCAAACAGCCATTTTAAAATAAACTGGTCAAAAAGTAAATTATCAAAGAATATTCATTAGATTTCACAGAAGATGTTGAAATGCTAAATGTGGTTAAATGCATAAAATGTGAGAGTAACCATGGTTTCCATGAATGCGATGAAGCTAATAACAGCATTTACTAAGGAAAATATAAAAATTACTTCCACGCTGAATTTTTAGTTCACAGTTACTGAGTTGTGAAGATTTTTTGCAGGAGAGTCTGTATTCATAATGGTGTGAATGAATGTAAATAATATTATGCAGTTTTTTCAGTCCCTACATTACTTGTATTAATTAAGGCATATGTTTTGAACAGAATAATAGTAGCTTTGATCAAGATATAAAAAATTTACTGGCAAATTAATAACATAAGAAAAGTTTGAAAGAAAACTTTATTTTATTCCCATTTACCACGCCCATGGAAGTTTCATGTTTGTAAGTCCCCTTTTTTTCTTTTCCCTTTTTTTAAGCTTTTTAAGATGCAATGGTTTGCTAGAATGTTTACTCATATCCCTCATTATGAACAAAAGAGTCCACTAGCGGCCGAGCGGTAAAATTGCTGAACACTGGAAGTTCGTTCCGAGGTTCGAAACCGGCGTTTGGGCTGGCTGCGCGGCCATTTTCGTGTTTTTCCTCATGTGTAACGTGCATACGGCCAGTTTCCGTTAGAAAGTACTTTACAAAGGCATCCCTCTCCATTAAAAAGTTAGCCCTCGAGTGCTTTGCCGTAATAAAATAAACCAAAGCATTATGAACAAAAACGAAGATTATGAATAAAACGATTTATTTAAAGTACCTTCACTAGCTACTCACTTGACTTGACTTATACTAGCTAACGTAGTATGAGGCGTCTCTTGTATAAAAATTTTAAACTAGTATTTTCTGTTTTTAGAAATAGAAATATGATAACATAGTTTGGGTTTTGTCTCTCTTTTTGTTTTAATTGCTCTACATTTCACATCTCCAGTCTATATAACATAAAATACAAAAGAAGGAAAATGTTATCCTGAATATATATTATACCAGTTTCATCTTTTACATATATAAAAATGGCATGAAAAATGTGCCTAATTATGAGGGAAATAAACTTGTTATTGTTTTTCTTAAAACATATTATTCAGATATGCAAGGTGATAAGAATGAATAGACTTTCCATCCGCTATCCTGAAGAAGGCAGCTTTGATAAATTGAAAAAAAAAAAATGGAGAAAAAAATTTTTTTCAGTATTCATAGCATTACCACCGATTCAGTCCGCTTTCAGTTCAGGCTTTATTCCCTTGTTAGCTTTAAAGAGAAAAAGTTGATAACTATATTTCCAATTCAATACGATTTGAAAATATTCATTCATTTTACAGTCTATGTTTTTATACCACCTTTTATAAATTAAGAATAAATTAAAAGAAGCATTTTCGACAGCGTAACACTTTTTAGTGGTGGTCTATTTTGGTAGGATTCGATTATGTATGAAAACATTATTACATAAATATTCGGTTTTATTTTTAATTTAATTTAATTTATATAATTTTATCAGAACCTTTTACGTCATTTTGCGAGTTTCCAGTATACGTCGTAAGAAAGCAGCTTGTTATCGTCTCTCAAAATTTTTAGCCTCTACTATTTCGAAGCTATAAAATAACTCTATTCATTTTCCTCCGTTTCAAAATCGATGCCACTTTAAAATAAAAAAGGAACTATCTCTTTCTTAGTATACATTTTAAATAAAATCTTAAGTACTGTTTAAGAAAACTAGAAAAAAAAGAAAACTTTTAAAACAAGATATAATTGGACTTAGGAACAATAAATTCATAGTTTAACTAAATCGAACTGAATTTCTTTATGTTCTTTTATTTCCAAAATGCCCACTTTAAGCTTAAAACATTAATGAAAAACGAAAAGACATATTATAAAAAAGATTTGTGACCCAGAACTTGGATTATATCGAAAAAGCTATCCAACTCTGCTAGATGTTGCCATTCTGGGCTGAATGGGACATGTAAATTTTTTTCAGTATTTATAACAGAGTCTAACTTTTAGCAGTTGGATGGTTTAAAAATAATATAAGTTGCTTCTTAATAATGTTATCAAAACTTATACATTTAGAACAAATGAAAAATTTTACTTCTATAACACTGTATACCGTAATTAATAGATCCCACCAGCGGCCGAGCGGTAAAGTCGCTGAACACTGGTAGTTCGGTCCAAGGTTCGAATCCCGCGAACGGGCTGGCTGCATGGGTGTTTTCGTGGTTTTCCCCATGTGTAACGTGTATACGAGCCAGTTTCCCTTAGAAAGTCCTCCACGAAAGGCATCCCTCCCCCTTAGGCAGATAGCCCTAGTGTGCTTTGCCGTAATTAAATACACCACCACACCGTAATTAATAAATGATGTGCTAGACCATTCATTATTTTTCTCCACTATAAATTCTTTTAAATGGCATTAAATTCACAAAGTTACGAAAATAGGTTTAAAATGGTGCCTATATATTTGTCGAAATTTTTGTAACATGTTTAATCCCTTGAAATAGCTATGATTTCCCATTGTGGGGTAACCACATACGATGGATCCACATTTCTCTGGATAATGGAGATTATATTAAATATGATTAGCTATAAATATGATAAAGTGCTTATCAGCCTTAGAAAATACTTATAAATTAGTACAAAATATTAAATAAATATTATTTCAGTATTTCTTTATATCAGTCTATTGTACAGATTCAGATTTAGTTGAACACAAATTTATCAATACCAAAAGAGTTAACTGCAGTTTCTTTAGCGTTTTAGAAAGGAATTAGGGGAAATAATTAAAAATAAGTACCAATACTACCATCATCTTAATATATCAAAATATTTCAATATTCAATTTAAAAAGGCAACAAAATGAATTCTTCCCTAATATTTATTTTACTGAAGCTGATTTATTAATTTTCTAAAATTTTATAACATAGCGTAATATCGAAGTTTCTAAAATTTTTATCTTAGCTTAAAATTCAATTGATTACTTAGTTTCTAAAATCTTATAGCTTAGCTTCTAAACACTTTCCAATGAAATTCTTTTCTTTTTCTGAAGTCCTAAACAGTCTGTTTTACTCTTTTGTCTATACTACAATATTTCATTAATCTCCTCTGAGAGAGTAAGCACATTTCTGCTTTGCTACGCTATTCCTTTAAACGCCGGTTCGATTCGAGGTTCGAATCCCGCGAACGGGCTGACTGGCTGCATGGGCGTTTTCGTGGTTTTCCCCATGTGTAACGTGTACACGAGCCAGTTTCCCTTAGAAAGTCCTCCACGAAGGCATCCCTTCCTTTAGGCAGATAGCTCTCGTGTGCTTTGCCATAATTGAATAACCCAAACCCTTTAAACGCCGAATACATTCAGATATATTGGCGGGGACAGGTGACTTTTCCTAAGGCGCTACTTATTTTGTTATTCTACTTTTCTAAAACATGCGTTATTCTATGGTGTTATTCAAAACAATTCTTGAGATCAACATTAACGTCTTTTTCTAACCAGTATTCGACTGTAAACAAATATTGAAATTATTTTAATGAGGTCTTTCCATTATACTTAACCACCCATCATCGTCTGCTTTTAAAGTAATGTGAGCCAGTGCATAACACATCGTGAGATTTAATGTTTGTTCACTTAAATGGCTTACTAAACTTAAGCTTCGCACGTTCGTCCACAACTATTGGTTGTAATAGAAGTTGTTGAGGAATATTTCTTGATATCGCCAAGAGATGGCGTTAGAAGTCCATCTATTAGCTTACTTAACGCTTCCTCTTCTGAACATGTGACTTGCAAAACATTTTGAATTTTGCTCTTGAGAGTAGATTTCGGACTGCATTGCTCAGTGTAATTCGATTCTTTTGAAGGAACTATTTAGTTCTTGCTTTTTAAGCGTTGACACTCGATTTAGGCATTTTAAGCCTACATTGTATATATGTATAATATTAAGTTTTAATTAAAATTATGTAACACCCTACAGGCCATGCATCTCATTTTTTAATTGTCAATTTGATTCGAACTTGATCATTAAGTTTGATTCAACTTAACAAAAGAAGTACTTTCACTTCAACTAATAGAAGCCTTTCACTTCAACAAACTG